AGGTGTGCGCCACCACACCCAGTCTCAGTCACTGCCTCAGTGCACCCTGTAAATAAACTTTTATAATAGTACAAAGAGATGTGTTCAGAGTACTAACTCAGGTTTTATACTTACTGAGTATTCAGTGAATGGTAAAGATTAGTAGCCGTTAGAGATTTATCTTGGTGCTTTATATGTTCATCTTAGCACAAGTAATCTTTTTTCACCTATAGAAAGTATCCCCTCCTAACTCTAGATAATCAAAAATTTCAGTTAGTGAAATCTGGAAGTGAGATTTTAGATCACAAAAGTCTTACCTTGTGAATGTGATAGATTGGTTTTGTTCTTGTATTTTTTTTCAATAAATATTTATAGTTTTCTCTATGAGGGAGGTAAGTTTCTTGAAAAAAGTATAAACATCATTATTTTTACATAAATTCTTGGTAAATAAAAGCCATAAAAATTGATACAACTGTTGACTAGCTAGTGGCCTCCTTTGTTTCATAAATATTGATTAAATTTATCATTTATATGTTTCATGGATTTTCAGTCTTTACCATATATGTTTGTGTTCAGATTCTAGCAATTAACCGTGGAGAGAATTTGAAGATACTGACAGTCAAGGTCAACATCTCTGATGGAATAAAGAATGAGTTCTGTAGGTGGTGTATCCAGAACAGGTAAAATACCATCCTGATACCATTTTGTACTGATAGGGAAAGAGGTCTATTATGTATGTAAGAAGTTGACAACGTATATATAATGTCTTTTTTACATTTAGGAACTATATTTCTTATGTATCTTAAATAGAAAATATCTGGGAGGTGCCATAAGAAAGTATTCACAATGATTACCTCTGGGGAGAGAAACCATCCTTTAGTCTAGACATGTAGTGGGTAACATTTTAGTCAGGGATCACTGATAGGCTGTATGCATGACAGTAGCCTCATAAGATTATTATGAAATGAACATTTTTTCTTGTCTGATGAACGCATTGCTGATGAGAGGCAGGAGAAAAAGTTGCTGCAGAAAGAGAAGAAGAGCCATGCAGGAAGAGAAGAAAAACGAAGAGGAAGGGATATAGGGGTAGACAACGGGCTTATGGATATGAGCCACATATATTGTACATGCCAAGCCGCCCTCCTGTGTGAACTTATGGAGAAGAATAAGAGGAGAGGGGAACGTGGGGTTAAAATGATCTATAAGTGCTGTGGTCTATGCATTGGCTAAAATGAAGCTCACTTGTCTGTGCAACCAATAAAAAAAATGACAGAGTTGGGGGACATAGCCACTAAGAAAATTCGTGCTGAAGGGTTTAGCTTGAGTTTTGGCAGATTGCAGCAGGCTCTTTATGGGTTTTGATTAATAGACAAGAATGCTTATGGAACTTTATCTGCTCCTAAGCAAGTGTATGATGAACAGTAGAGAACCTTTAGCAAATCATCCGGGCCATATTTCTGGGAGGTTGACACCCCCTTGGGAGGAGCTGGGGTAGGTCCTTCAGGAGGAGTCCAGGCGGAGGCCTTGTCATCAGAGAAGGTGCTGCCTCTTGGCCTGTGTGTGCCTTAGGTCTACTGTTGGGATGAGATGTCAGGGTGAGACCTGTGTAGCCTTTGGCCAGTATGTATGTTTGTGTGTCAGTTTTTTAACAAGTTTAAAAAGGCAGAATAATTTAAATAGCAAATGCTTATACGTTAAGAATATTTAAAAAATAATTTTGTATGGGTACAGTACAATGTGTTTTAAGCTAAATTATTATAGAATAGTTAAAAAGTTGAAAATTAAGTTTATAAAGTGAAATAGTTGTAATAGACCTAATTTATTGAGGAAATAAAAGAATTTAAATTTACTCCAGGCTGAGTATGTGTAGTTTGTGAAGTATGTAGTGTTTTTTTTTTTTTTTTTTTTGTGGAACCAGGGATCAAACTCAGGCCCTTGCGCTTGCCAGGGAAGTGCTTATTCTACTGAGCCATCTCTTGGCCCCTATGTAGTGGTTTAAAGCCCTCTTTAAACTGGCACTCTTAGCTCACTGATTCACCTAGAGTGGTGTCCCATCCTGTGATCTTTGGCCTGTTCTATACCGGTGTACTCACTTATTCATTCATGCAGTCATTTATTCATTCAGCTTAATTCTGGCAATTTTACGCACAGAGTGCTGTGCTCCATTCTCCACCTTTTAAATTCTTTCAAAATTTTGAGACATGGCCCTGCTGAATTGCCCAGGGTGGGCTTGAACTTGAGTCTCCTGCCTCAGCCTCCCAGAGTGTTGGGATTATACACGCATGCCATCATGACTGACTCAGCTTTACATTTTTTATACTGTGTTTTTACTTTACCTTTTTTATGTTTAGATACACAAATACTTAATTTTTTTACAGATGCTTACAATATTCAGTACAGTGACATGCTGCCGAACAGCCTTGTGTAGAAGCTATACACTATAGATGAGGGGGGTAGTAGGTTAAACCATACAGATTTGCTTAAGCACACTCATGCTTGTGCCACAAAATCACCCACCAATTCGTTTTTCAAGACTTACCTTGATTACTAGGCAATACATAACTTTTTTTTTTTGGTATATTTGAGTATTATAAAGAGTATTTTTTTTTTAAATTAACAGCAATCTTACAGAAATATTTTACCCTTAAGAATGAATGAGACAAAAATGTAATTCATCAGGTAAATTTTAAACATATTGTGTGTTTAAATACACAACTAGAATGTTTTGCATGTTAAGGATGATTAGTTGGATATGGTGGCACATACCTATAATTCCAGCTACATGGATGGCAGACAGGATTATTGCAGGTTAGAGGACAGCTTAGTGATTTATCAACTTAGTGAGAGCTTGTCTCGAAATAAAGTAAAAAAAAAAAAAAAAAAAGGTGGAGTGGGAATGTAGCTCAATGCAAAAGCCCTGAGATTAATCCTCAGTAGTACAAATAAATAGATGAACCCTGAATTTATTGAACTCTTTTTTTTTTTTTTTTTTTTTTGGTGGAACCGGGGATTGAACTCTGGTCCTTGTGCTTGCCAGGGAAGTGCTTATTCTACTGAGCTATCTCCCTGACCCTTTTATTGAACCCTTAACAAAATGTACTTTTAATTAATCCTTTTTATGAAGCCTTTTAAAATGGCTCCACATATTTGAGTAACACTTTTTAACTTATAGTTTTAACTGTTCTGAGTGTATTTGATTCTTGCAATAATTTATATGGTAGGTAGAGCAGATTTGGTAGCCACCATTTGACCAATGAGAAAACTAATGCAAAGATATAAAGTCATGTATCTGACAAAAGATTTAAGTTCGTAAAGTTTGGATGTACTTATTATCACATAGTACTCTGACCTAATTCAGAAAGATTGCTGGGAACGCAGCTGAAAAGTTAGATGAAGTCTTCCATACATGCTTTGTATCTGGCAGTTAACTGTCTTCTACAATATGGTTCTTGTGTCAGTTCCACAGAAGGCCAAGTTATTAGACGACAAGTCCATGAAGGGTTAGATTACTTGCTGAGCTACCAAGTAATACTAATCAGTAATCATCAAGCAAGTTGAGACTCTGAATGTTCATCAGTAGGTAAATTGCCTAAGCCAGTTACATATCTATAAAATGGTTCTATGTAGCCATTTTGAAATTGTTAAAATTGAATTGGTGAGGGTACAAAGATGTCTTTTTATGTTAAAATAATTTATATTTATTATTTAAGATATCTTGATAGAAATAATATATCCACATATTTAAGAAAATGTGAAAGTAATAGATGGTTTGCATCTTAGATCCAGTATGAGATTTCAGTCTTTATTTTATAATTTTATGTAATTGCGATTTTTTACATAATACTTCCTTTGTAAACAAGCAAGTAAATTCCCTTGAAAATGAGAAAGAAATACTTAAACGTCCTATATTTAAAATAAGTATATTAGCTGGCTGTAGTGCCACATACCTGTAATCCCAGCACTTAGGGAGCTAAGGCAGGAAAATTACCCAGAGTTCAAGGCCAGCAGGGGCTACACAGTGAGACCCTGTGTCAAAGGTGTATAAGCCATTAGTTCCTCAGCCAGGTGTGGTGAATGCCAGTGGTCTCAGCTCCTCAGGAGGCTGAGATGGGAGGATCACGAGTTTGAGGTTTGCCTGGGCTACGTGGGGGGATCATGATGGTCTGAGCTATGTTGCGAGACACTATCTCAAAAGAGAAAAATAGAAATTAGATTTAATCCTATCTCTAATGAAAGTCTAGAAAGAGCAAGACCCTAAAAACCAAGTAGATTTGCATATGACTTCCAGGTGTATTACTTCCTACACGTGTACCTGTGGATGTTACTTAAGTTCTTTCTTAGCTTTTATCATCCTTAAAATGGTGAATATTTTTTTCATAAAGTTGAGAGAATTAAGTGACTTTCTTTGTAGTTTTTTTAGTATAATTCTGGTTTGAACTGACCTTTGATGGCATCTGTTGTAGAGTAGTAGGATTATTGTGCTTTTCCCCCTTTAGAAATGTTTTAGTAAACTGGGAAGAACCTCTAGCTTATTTTTATGTACATACTCATAATTCTTAGTATTAGAGATGGTCTCCAATAAAGAACTACTAGTGAAGCTTTTATTGTTACATCTTTATGCTGGGTAAATGTCAAGGCATGATTTTCATCACAGTGATGTATTTTTCCCTTGACTTAGCAGTATTTTATTTTATTTGGTTCTCCTCCAGTTAAGTAGTTAGTAATATTTAATATACAAAATAACATATTATATCATTGTGGTACAGTAATACAGTTTCAGATTTGGAAGTGTTTTTTCATATGGGTAATTCTTTTTTTAATTTTTCTTTTATTTATTTATTTTTTTGTTTTTTGTATTTTAGGGAGGGATCTACAGGGTAGGCCCTTCTCACTGCTAGATCAGACTTGTAGTGATTCTCTTGTACAGCCTGTCAAGAGCTGGGATTATAGGCACGTGCCTACCATGCCTAGTCTCAGTTGCTGTCTCAGTGTGCCCTGGGGGCTGGGGCTGGCATGACAGGCCTGGGGATTGAACCCCCGGCCCCTGCACCTGCTTGCAGGTGCTTTAATCTGCTGAGCTATTTGGCTGATCCAGATGGGTAATTTTTTTTTTTTTTTTTTTTTTTTTTTTAGGGATTGAACTCAGGCCCTTGCGCTTGCCAGGGAAGCGCTTATTCCACTGAGCCATCTCCCTGGCCCCTCCATATGGGTAGTTCTAAGATCTGAAAAACTGGGAACTGACGGACTATTCTAAAGAACTCCTTTTCTTTCCT